AACTAAGAAAGAAAACTTCTAGCTGGGACTGGGGACTCAAAGCTCAGGGATGAACTGGACAACCGGACATGTACAACTGCTACCACTGTGGATGGCTGCTGCAGAAACAAATGACCAAGCAAACCAACTCCACTCTACCTATTGGAGGAACTCCCTGCTAGCGGGAACTTCCACCTCTCTCTGCTCAAGGGACGTCAGAAACCTCCCAACCCAACCCCCACTCCTTCCTCCTTCAATTTCCTTCAGAGGAAAGGACTTGGGTACAGGTTTGAGAACAGGAGGGGCCCCTGACTGAGGCCTTCCTAAAAGATCCACAAACAACCTGACCCTCACAGATTGACAGACACACAGGCTCAGCACCCTGTCTGGCAACAGGAAAACCCACAGGGTGTTAAAAGGCAGAGAAAGGGAAGTGAAGCCCATAAACAGCTACTGGAACCACTGAACTTCAGAGATTTAAACAAATCAGACAGAAGCCCCATATTTCCCCTGGCCCCCAACAGGGACCCCCACGACAGTCCAGCCTCCCAAATATGACAATGGACAGTGAATTCCCTGGAGCTCCCCTTCTGAGAGTTTATAGTATCTGCCAGGCATCTGAGAACAAACAGGGAAACAGCAGTGAGAAGCTCAGAGCATTGTTCAGGCTCTGGTGAGGACCTGCTGCCCCAACAAAGATGGAAGAAACGAGTCTGCATTACGCCCAGCTCTCACATATGCCAGCAAACTACAGACCCATGAGACAGGGACTGAATCTGTTTTTTCACTATCATCATTTCCCAAGAGCCCAGTGCTACACTTGGCACATAGTAAGCACTCAAAAATGTTTGTTGCATAAATGAAAGAGAATGATGGTCATCATCTTTATCTCCTGGCACCCATAAGGGGAGAGAAAAAAGTCTGTATATTTATTCTTTCACCAAATATTTATGTAGCAACTCCTCTGTGCCAGGCATTGTCCTAGACACAATAGGAAGGAAAATATCCCTTTTCTTGAGGATTTCATGTTTTAGTGAGTATGAAGGAGACAATCTCAATGCTCCCCATAGAACTACATAAGCCATAGACATTTAATAATTATCTAATAAGTGCCCACTATATGCAAGTGATGGGTACCAGATGCTAGGACAGACACCTGGAATCTGGGACTTGGCCCTATGAAATTATTTCATCTTCTAGACCAGGATCCTAAATCTGGGATGTGTCAATCATTTGTCAGAGGCCCCTGGGTAAGGAAAACAGGAACAGAAGCCACTGTGTAAGTACCACACGCATGCCCAAAACACCACACAACACTGCATGATAGAAAGAAACCCAGCATCTTTAGCTGAGAGGCACTAGAGGTCAGAAAAGCAGCTCTAATATGTTATAACTAAACACCAGAGCTCAAAGAGTGCTCCTAGCAAGCTGGCTCCTCCTTTGTTCCTCACACATGCACTCGGAGGTGTTGTTATTCTGAGCCTGAGTCAGCAAATATTTCCAGTCCTGGAAGTAGTCTGCTCATTTCCAAGTAAGCAGACACCAGCTTGCTGATTTTACCAGGGTGGGGCAGAAGGAGCTAACGAGGTGAAGAAGCTGGAGCCCAACACCTCCATGGGTGGAAGCTCATAAATGGAGATGCCCTGAGTCATGCTCGATTCCCTGACTGAAGCCCCATGGAGACAGGCCTGGAGTCACACCTTAATCACCAGCCTCTGAGTTACGAAGGCCAGGAACCATCTGCCAAGGAAGAAGACCCACAAGTTTGAAACCTGATGCAAGGGACCATTTCCTCCCAGCCAGGCTCAAGTAAGTGCCCAGCTCCTCTGACATGGTGGAATCCAGCTGCTCCAGATAGCATTCCCACCCTGCATCCAAAGGCACAGGAAAAAGCTCAGGGACATAAAGCTATCTACAAAAAGCAGCCACTGGGCAATCTGGGATAACATGTACAAACAAGGGCAGCATGCACACGACTTCTGACGTGACAAGCGAGAGGCTGGCAGGACAAAGTCTGTGGACAAGCTGAGTAAGGAGGAAGAGAGTGTTCCCAGCTGGAACACTCTAGACAATGCTGGGCAGTGCAGAAGCTCCTGGCATTTCCAGGCCCTATGGAAGCACTGGACGAAGGCCCCAATGTTTAGCTTCCCATGCTGGGAGGTGGGCCTCCATGACAGAATATAGCTGATGCCTTTAGAAGCCACAGGCCCAATTCCTCCTGAGAGAGAGAGAAGCTGCACTGTCCCAGGACATGCCAGGATCCACAGGCCCTAGTGACAGCTTGCACAACAGCAAAGACAGCTGCATTCTATCCAAAACAGAGGCTACCAGCAACCCAGGCAAGCACCCAAAACTGGCTGTCCTCCCACCAGGCCCTTGGGAAAGGGGTCTGAGAGATAACAGGTGGGGTTAGAAGGCTGAGTAAGGCCAATTCTTCCTGACCAGGCTGAGACACACACCAAAAGAGGAAAGCAGTGGGGGAGTAGCAAGGAAAAAGGGAGCCACATGAGAGAGCAGCTCATTAAACTAAGGGGCTGATGTACGACCACATGTAAACAAATGTCAGGGGTCCGTCTGCCTACACCTTTGAAAAAGAGAAGCAGGCTGACCCAGGCTCTGCAAAAATCACTGAATGGGAACTTGGTACTGGATATTTATGACTGACTATCTATGCAAAAAACAATGGAGTGGGCAAACTGTAGGAAGCTATCTGGCCAGGGCTGCTGGAGCTTCTCAGGCCTTTCTCACCTGCTGCCCCGGTGAGCAGCAGGGCTAATGGGTAAGCAAAGGCAGAAAAGTAGCAAAGTCCTCAAAGGAGTCAGACCAGCACACAACCACGACTTTATCAGAATGACCTATTAAAACCCCAGAAGTATGTTTCCCATAGGAATAAGGGACCCCTTTTGGTCCATTCTGCCCAAATCCCCCAAGTGCTGCTTAGGAGGGGGCTCAGGGTCAGTGGAGAGGAGACTGGCTCAGCCATCCATGATCCTATTCCTTTCACAAATGAGGGTCAATGCACAAGAGAAGTGAAGAGCTCTAAAGTCTAGTCTGTCTGGTATAGTTGGCTCTCCACTACAGGTCCTGAAGGTTGCCAATTCTGTGTCCAATTTTGGCTCAAAGACAGAGAACACGATCCTCAAAAGAGAAGACCTAGAAACCCAGGGCCAGGTGAAATAACAGCCTTCATTTCTAAATGTGAGATTGGGTCATGCTTTCAGAATCTTCCAGGATCAGATTGGGCAGAAACAGAGGATAGGTTATTTCCTGCAGCTCTCTCTAGGGTACTGATGCCAAATAAAAGCTCAAATTGGAAGACATTTGAAAAGAACTTCCTACCTTGCAAGAAGGTTAAACACCCTTGAAGGTGGTGGGCTCACTACCCCAGAGATGATCTCTGTGGCTGGAAGCACCTCAAGAGCCTGACACAGTCTAACTAATGCAGCCCCACGACTTGCCCCATCAGATACATACCTGACATCCCAAGCTACACCTGGGCTAAGAGAACAGAACCTCAGGGTCAGCCTCCCTCTTGGATCAACAAGATATCAAGCTCCCAAGGGAAAAGAGAGAACCTTCAGGAGAACCTGCTTAGTGACCAACTTCGGAGGCCCTAACTCATTCAGGGGGTTCCAGATGTGAGAAGGAAAATCAGGAAGCCAACAATAATGAATGAAACTGATGTCTGCGAGCCCCAGGGTTGTTGGGCTGGCAACCTACTTCAAAACTCAATTAGGAAAGAAATGTTCTGGAGCCAGTACAGAGGAAAAAGGATGAGGACCACAGGCATTCTTTGAGGCTCAGCTTCTGGAGTCTTCTCTTAGCTTTCTGGGATTGGGCATAGGGTGGAGGGTGGGAGTGAGGGCTGACAGAGATAGGCTGGGGTAACACCGTTTAAATGTGTTTGATAACTCCAGAGTGGGAAGACACAGAGCCCTGTTTCCTGGACGGGAAAGAGTTGGATGAGGCCTCCAGCTACCCCTGGCGCACACCCAACTCAGCGGCCAGTCTCTCTCCAAGGGTTCCTGGAAGTCAACAGACCCATAAAGGGGAAGTATTAAAGCTGAGATTAGAATGGCCTACAAACTGGACACCATCCCTGATGCAACACCAGTAAACGCTCCCACACAGGCATGTCTGCTATTTACCTCAGACATTCAGTCCCTTAACTTCAGTCAGGAGCTGAACACCCCTCCTCACAGGTATCTCAACTGCAGGTCAAGGGAAAGCAGAGTAAGTAGAATGTGGAGCTAATGCTTCTCCCTGAAGCAAGAGCGAGGAACTGGCAGGGAAGGGGAGGTGGGTGACAGGAATGGAGGGAACAGGGCTGGTAAGAAGAAAATCAGAGAGAGGGGCAAAAACAGGGCCTCTGTGGGGAGCCAGAGTAGGAGGGGCTTAGGTAGACAGGGATTGCAGGCACGGGACTGAAAAGCCTCACAACACGGCGAGGAAGATGGTGAGCCGCACTACTGAGAGGATCCAGACAACGGGGGAAGGAAGAGCCAGAGATGGGAAAAGACAGCAAAGACTGAGAGGGCAAGAATGGCAGGAGACAAGGATAAAGACACAGAGTAGATCCCCAAGGGGACCCTGGGTAGAGAGCAATGGATCTGGGGACACCAGAGAAGGGAAGAAGGAGGAGGTCAGAGGCAAGGGTGGGGAGTGGGAGCCCCCGAGCCCGAGATTGGGCTCCCAGAATACAGAAGTGGGAGGAGACGGAGCCACGAGGCCCAAGAGGGGACACAGTCGGGAGCAGGAAGCCCACGGTTGTGGCTCAGAGATGGGGGTCCAAAGGACTGGGGGTGCAGGGGCAGCAGACAGGGCACCAGAGAGCAACGGACGTCGGCGAATCCGCCCAGACTGGAGCATCTGGCCGGGGCACAGTCTCGGTCTGCGGACCCCTGCCTCTCCCCCAACCCCACTCCCCGCCGGGCCTTGCGCCCCAGCCTGTTGGCCGCCTTAGCCGGGGCCCGCCACTTCCCTCCGCTACTTGCCTACCCACTTCCCCGACCCGGACTGACCTGTCCTGGCCGCCTCTCGCGCCACCGCTGCCGTCCCGCAGGCTCCGCAGGATTCTCCAGCTCCTGCCAAAACTTTTCCCATTAATCCCCAGCTCCGCGGCGACCGCGGCGTCACACGCTGCGCGGCCCAACCCCACCCCCGCCAGCATGACGTCATCGCGCAGCTCGGCCCCCTCGCTTTACCCCACCCTTCCGTCCCGGCAGCAGCCAATCACCGCCCCGCCCGGGAACGCCCCTGATTCTGCCACTACGCCCACCGCACGCTGCCCTGGTCCGCCTGCAGCGCCCTCTGGTGTGAGATACGGGCACGGCAACCGAGGGCAGAGCTGGAGAGGAAGCTTCGGGACTAGTAAAACAAGTCTGGCAAGTGTCACAGAAGGGAATTTAAAGCTGGAAGGCAACTTAGAGGTCATCTAGGACAACCTCCTCATCCCTCCAGTGAAGAAACCATCCCAGGAAAGTGCATGACTTGCGCTGGGAAGCAATGGTGAGACTAGAACCCGGGTCTTAAGATTCCACTGGAGGAGACTGTTTAATAAAAGGGCTTTCATCTGCCAAGTGGCTTCTACAATCAGAAATCTATAGTCCTGTGCTTCTTACCCATCTTCCCATGTACTTATCTAACATGTCTGCCTACCCAAATGGCAAACTTCCTCACTGTTGTGGAGAATTCTGTTCTTCTTAATCCAGGTCTTTAGGACCTAAAAGGGACCTGTTATCCTAATCTGTCCCTTCAGATATACCATGAAAAGGTACCTAGCAGCTGGGAGGAAGTCTGGTGGAAGAACGTGGGTTTGTCATCTAGCAATGAGCAACACTTGACTCATAAGTATATGATCAATGGGTAACTCCCTCTTCTCCACCACCTTTAAAGATTATCCCTCCTCTCTGGCATTCACTCCTCTGGTCACACCTTCAGATAGCTGGATGGTAATACTAAGTGTAAGTTTTTTTTTCTTTCTGCTTCTCTTTCTTTCCTACTTTTGAAATGAATGTGCGCTTTTTTTATGTACTTTTATAATTCAGATGTCAGCCTCCTTGCCCTTTGAGTGTGAGGAATGGATTGTAGAAGTCAAAGCCTTCCCTAAAATTTCTGCATATTTCTGGGGATTTATAATTCTCCTAAATCTCTCTGCTTCCCAGCTCCTACTAGGCTGTAGCACTCCCACAGTTCACAAATACAGAGATGAAACTCAGTGCTTCCTGAAGGCTGCCCACATTTCTGCCCACACAAAACAGTCATTGGTATAGAAGTTCATTATGATGTTTTGTGCCCTGGGGTAGGGTCACATGATGCATTGCAAACAGTTTAAACTCACACATCATTTGTTCTTTAAAGTCCTTTCAGCACTGCATTGAAATTTTCTAAATGGCCTATCACCCCTTAGGGCCTGTCTTTCTCCCACATCACTACTTCTCCTTGACCCAAAGTTCTCTCCTCTATCACACCCTCTCTGCAGAAAAAACAAATTCTTCCCAGGCAGAAAGAGACACTTTATCCTATCTCTTCATTGCTAGAGTTCCTGCCAACCTTCATGTCCTGAAGATCTCACTTTCTACCCCTAAAAGGCTTATTTCTCCAAATAAAAACAGATCCATCCCAATAAAAGAAATTCTGGAAAGACTGTTAAGATAATTATACTTTTTACTTTGTTTCATTTTTATATTAAAAAGGATATGTATAATATTTTATATAGTTATTTAATAAATACATATTTCATGTTTAGACCCCATAACTCATTTCTCACTACAATATTATTTAAAACAAAAACTGTAGATAAACTTAAGGTCCAACAACAGAGAAAGGCTTAGGTAAATTATGCTGTATGCTTCCAATGGAATGTTATGTAGCCATTAAAAATAATGACTACAAAGAGTTGGTAAAAAAGTGGGAAAATGTTATGATCTGATATAAAGTGGAAAAAGGCAGAATCTGATAATATGTATAGAATATATAGATATGAGTACTGTTTGGAAAACAAAAAGTTAGTATAGAAAAAAACTGGAAGGGAACACTAAAATATTACCAGCAGTTGTCTTTGGCTTGTGGTTCTGTGTATTATTACCTTTCCATATTTTTTTCCTTAGCGTTTCTTATCAAAATGGCAACATGGTTGATTTTTTTAAGAGCAGCAACAAAAATCTTCTTTATATTGAACAAAAATGTATATCCTCTGGTATTCCTACCCAATAGTCTTAGTTCTTTCCCAGGAGGAAAACTAAATCAGTGTCCATATAAGAGCCCTTCTGATGTACATTCCCCTATATAATGTACATTTCTCCTATATTTTTTCTTTTTCAAGCTACAACATCCCTAGTTCCTCATATACAGTGATTATGGTTCCCTTTGGCACCCAGATTGCTGGCCTCAGAATGCTGTTTTACTCATTTCCATCCTTTTCAAGGCTTTCCTTGTTTTGGGCCACCTAACTTCTGAATCACCTTCCCATATTTGAAAAATCTCCCATTTTAGACTCCTAAACACTTGCAGCCTCCTTTGCAGCTAGGGCTTAGCCATGTGACCAAGGCTCAACCAGTCAGACACACTGGCAGCTGGGAAGCTGAAGAACTGAGAGCACGCATGATCCATTCAGGTAAGTGGCAGAGCAGAAGCTCCACCTAATTTCCAGCTGTAAGAGCAGCGTCTAGCATTGGTGATATTGGCCATGAAAACAGCAGAGTCTGTACCCAGAGGTGGCAACTGAGATGTCTTCACAAGAACTGTTGTATGCCACGATTTTGTGTTTTGTTCCTGACTATGCAGCCTCTGAGCTGGCTTTCTCATCCTCCCAATTGTTTAAGGAGCTCCTCTATACTCTTATTAATAAATTACTTTTTTGACTTGAATCAGTTGCTGTTACTTGAATAAAAAATCCCAGACTAATTCACCTTCCCCAAATCTTCGTTTGGACTAGACTTGCCGTCAGGCACAGCACAAAGTGAGAAAAGTTGGTTCCTGTCAATCCACTGTAACCGTTTCCAGATGGGCCGGAGATCTCGGCTACCAAAACCTGCTCTGTCGCCCAATCACATATAGTATAACTGAATGAATGGAGGAAGGCTAGATTCGCTTTGAAATGGATTCTGACCTTCTCCACAGCCATTTCAGGCCCCAGCCAGCAGGTGGTGGCCTCCTTTGTCTCCTGAAATCAGCCTTCTAGGCATTCCCCTTCCTCTGCCTCTCACCTACAACACCAGGGGCCAGGGAGGCAATTTTCAGCAGGCACTGTGCCTATGGAGGAGCACCTTGCGTATCCTGACAACAGTTTGCAACAAACCTCTTGCACTCTGGTCACTTGCAACACCTCCCCATCCCGCCTCACATACAAGCCACAGAGGAATGACCTGGGACTAAAATCGCTCTGCTTTCCACGTGGCTTCCATAGTTTATGGGTGTCTCTGAGGGCATCAAAGATTGGATACACTTCTTCCAGGATGTTGGGAAGGACAGAGGAGCTATTTTCTAATCCTGGAATTAAAAGGCTGGAAAACATCTTCTGACTCCTAGGAATGTCTCACAAGACTGACAGCTTCCTGTGCCAGTCCCAGTGTGGAATGGCATTCAGGCATCTGGTCGACCTTCCTTTCACCACCTTATACCTCAAACACACCTCCCCCTGTGTCCCATCATGGAACATTCAAAAACCTGCAGTGGACCCATTTACAGGCGAGGAAATTGAGGCTTAAGGGCTGGCACAGCACCTCAAGTCTAAACTCCATCTAGCTTCCAAGAACATCTATAATCAGGCCTCATTCTACCATCCTAGTCATGGGTCCTTCACAGCAGCTGGCTTCAAAAATTTTTACCTTTCTACTCCTTAAAGATTATATAAGAACTATGTAGCACCTTGCAAATTTTTAAGGTGACATATAATATTTTTCATTATTTCTTTAAAACTTAATAATTACAGAGAATGGATGTACTTTCTATTTTTAAGATACTGACATTTTAATATAAAACTACTATATTAACCCTTTAAATGTATTAAGACTCAAATTGATGCTCACCATCCTGTCTTAAAAATACACAAACAAGCTCTTTAGCAATAAAAAATTTTACATTGTTTATTTTTCTCCTTGTACCTGTATTTCCATGCTACTTTACCCTAGAAATCTAAACATAACATATTTTTATGTTTGATGTTCTTTTATTGAGAACCATATCATACATCTCTGCAACCAAAATATGTATGTACATTGGAATTCATGAATTTTTTAAGTTTCACGTAATTATAAAGTTCTAAGTGAGAAATTTTCTTCAGGTTTGAATGGCCATTACAAATATTAGTAATAGCCAATTGATCCAAACCGCATAAATATTAGGATTTTCATTAGTATTAAACATAAATACAAAAAAAATGCATTGGAAGAGTATTTCTTAATGAAATGGATGGGCTACTTTTTTCCCCCACCCAGTTCATATGTCCACAGTTGAATAGTATTTATTGCTAGAATGAGATCGCATTCAGTATCAATTCTAGCCCTGTTTTTTCATTTGTAAGCTGAGAAAACTTGTTCACATAAACAGTTAGATGGGAACTGGGAGAGTTTTAATACAGCAATGGCATCTGAATTGTTTGCCCCACAAAATCACAGACATCTATTATTAAAAAACATCATTAATGATTTTTCAGCTGACAATGCAGTTAAGTCCTCCCAGATCTTGAAAGCAAACATTTTGAAATCTCCCAACTTGAAACAAAAAGAATTTGTTGTCCATTTTGAGCCATTCACTTTCTCAGCACCCACAGTCCTACACCAGAGTTTCAGACTGTTGCTTTGTTTACAGTGTTCCAGGAATTTTACCCCCCTGTATAGTCCATTTTTAAAGATAGTGGATGGGTGGCTGAAAAGTAGGGAAGGGGAAATTATGAAAGAGGAAAGCAATTTTGGTAAAGAGAACATGTGGAAGTTGAGGATCTGCAAATTGATTTTCTTAAAACTCCCTGTATGCTAGAGATACCCCACTCCATTAGAGGGCCATTGATCTTCTCATCCAATATATATAATCCAGATTTCTTGTGCCCATAAATGTTATGCTTCTTTCTACTTATGTTATTCCCATGTTCTCCTACTCTCCTTTCTTATTTAATAAAATTTTGAGGGCCACCCTGAATCCCAACTCCTACCTAGTGCTTCCCTTTTTTTTTCTGAATTCCTACCACACTTATGAGTTTGAAGCTCACATCTCATCCCTGTAATACACATCGTGTTATACTGGCAGCTTTGTTTCATGGCACTTTAAATAGAATGTAATAAAGTTCCTTGCAGTAGAGTTTGGTGTGCTTGCAAAAAAGATGAACTCTGATATTAGACAGTACATAAGTTCCAGGAGGGCAGGAATTCTGTTTTCTTCTGTGCCATGTAGCCAGCACCTAGTATAATACCTGACATATAATTAGAGCTTAATAAATAATTTGTTGAATAAATAGACTTGAGTTTTAATCTTAGCCACTTCATCACTTTTAAGCTATGTGACACCCAGTCATTCATTTTAGAATTCATGAATGAATGAATGAATTCAACAAACAGTTGTTGCATGCATAGTAAGAGCCATGCACTGTGCTAGGCACTGGGGACGTAAGTTGAAGATGTGCTCCTGCCTTCAAGGAACTCAAGGATCTAGTTATGGAGGCTGTTAAATGAAGTATGGTGGAAAGGACAGCCAGTGTACAGGTCCAGAGGAAGAAAAAGGAGGTTGCTGCTATTAAATCTATAAAGCAGAGGCACATGAGGCCCTTCTGGGCCAGGTTGTCCCAGGCCTTGTATGCCACATACAGGAATGTGAATTTGACTGTCCAGGGTACTGCTGAGAGGCTGGAAAGTGGGAAGAGTCAAGGACAGATCTACATTTTAGAAAGTCATGCAGGCAGCCATGGGGAGAATTAGCAAGGAGACCCAGTTATTGCTCCTATCTAGTTGGGAGGTGAGGAGGGCCTGAGTAAGGCAATGGCCTTGAGACATGGCCCAAAGGGAATGGATTTGAAAGTGACCAAGAAAATCCAATCAGTTGGATTTAGAGACTGATTAGATATGGGGCAAGATGGATAAGCAGACAAAGATGAGCATGCAGAAGGAGAATACAAAGGCCTTAGCTATAGTGGCTGCCATGAGGATAGAGGGATAGATTTGAAAGTTTGAATGAGAAACAATCTACTAGATTTGATGATGGGTTTTGCATGAGGGGAATGAGAGAGAACAAGTCACCAAGGTTCCCAGTTCTCTGTCTTAGGTAACAAGGTCAGTGAATTGGATAAAGTGGGAAGAGGAGAAAGTTTGGAAGGCTTGGGCAAGTTACCTGACCTCTCTGAGCCTCATTTTCTCCACATGTTAAATGAGACTAATAACATCCACCTCTCGTGGTTGCCATGGGAATTAAACAACCTGGGAAATTGCAAGGCATAGAATAGATGCTCACTAAACACTTTAGGGTAATGCTAATCGTAGTGCTTGCTCATGTGCCAAGGCTGGTACTCTCATCATCCCTATTTTACCAGCATGGGAACTGAAGCACAGAGAAGTAAAGAAGCTTGACCAAATCACCCAGTTTGTAGGTGGCAGAGCATACTTCCCTAGACACTGCACTATACCTTATTCCTTCTGGGACCTATAACTGGACGTGAGGGAGGAAGAGAGGAAATGACAGGAGAGATGGACAGCAGACCTGATCAGTAATTCATTCCAAGAACAGTTTTTATTTGGAAATGTGCCTCCACAACTTGGCAACAGTCTCGGGGCAGATGGCCCCTGGCTTGCTTGTTTACTCTTTCCCAGCCGAGGACACAGGGTCCTTGGGATTAAGGCACAGGGTGACGTTCTCCAGGATCAACATCCCAGACAACCTCAGTGGTCTGTGGCCTGGGCTTGGTGCAAGAACTGAATTAGATTCCACTGTGGACTGTTTCATGGTTGGAGGGCCTGGGCTCCTGACACCAGGACCTCAGCTCCTTCTGCAGGGGCCGGTGTCACTCACAGGCCAGCTGTGGCCAGGTCCGGTGGGCATGAGGTCAGGGGCAAAGGGCCTAGCAGAGGCTAATTTTCTGGTGCTGGGTCCAGTTTATCTTCCTGAGGAGTGGAAGCCGAGATGGGAGCTTCATCCCCACCATTGAGGGACTTTTGCTGCTCACTGCTGCTGGGTGAGGGGGTCCTGTTGTCCCGGGATCCCCAGCGGGTCAGGCACTTTAGGGAGGAGTCACGGTGGGCAAGCAGAGGGGGCTGGAAGCCCGTGAAGGAGCTGCTGGTGGTAGGACGCTTGTCTGGCAGAGAAGGGCAGGCATGAATAAGGGGAAATGTGTATGTGAAGGGCAGGGGCTGAGGGGCCTTGCCTCAGCCACTGGGGGACAGGGGAACCTCCTGACCTTCAGTTCTAGGCTGGCCTCTGTACATCCAGAGGTATCCCTTTCTCTCTCCCTTCTCCCTCCCCACTCCAGGGAAAGCTCCAGGGTCACCGCTTCTCACCTCCAGGCTCAATTGGATGCATGAGCCGGTTCATCTGGACATTCCAGTGTTTCACATTGGTGCTGGCCTGGCGCAACTTCCGCTGGGCAGCCTGTGGGGGCAGGGCCAGTGGGGAATGGGACAGAGCCACCATCCAAGACAAGCTGTCTTGACCTTTTCATGTTCACAGGCCCCTTGGAATCTGACAAAGGCTATTGATCATCTCCCCAGAAAAACTTGTGTATGTTCATAAAGAGTTACAGATAGGAACAGAGCTGGCATCCAATTTCAGGGGACTCATGGACCACCAAAGGGTAAAAAAAATATCACGGTATAGTTTCCATTTATTAACCAACTAAGATGTGCTTAGTATATTTACTATCTTATTTAACCTCCAGAGCAGAAGTTAGCAACAAAGAATTGGAAAAGACATGAAGCTACGTGCCTAGGGGCACACACTGGACTCTAAACCTGTGTATCACACCACCTCCTCAGGAGCTAACGCAGAAGTCTCTGCAACGATGTCCACCCAGTCCTCGACAGTGGTTGTGGGGTGGAGGAAATCACAGAGGAACTTTCCTTTTCTCTGTTACATATTTCTATATTTGAACCTTTCACAATGACCATGTAAGGCAACAAAGCAGAATAAAATAATCAATATTAATAAAAAGGAAACATCAATAATTTTAAAATGAGAAAAGATCCCCTCTTCTATGGAGATTAGGGCTCCTAAAATGGAGCCAAAGTACAGGGACAGCAAGGGGCTTGTAAGAGTAGAAGAAAAATTTTTGCCCAGATTAGTAATAATGATAAAAACAGCAGCTAATGTTTCTTCAGCACTTACTACAAACTAAATATTCCGTATTATCTCACTTAAAATCTTTATTATAATGCTATATAACCAGTCCGCTTTCCCAAACGAGGGACTTGAAACTCAGAGAGGTTAGGCAATTTGCCCAAAGTCACACAGCCTGCGTGACTGAGCCAGGGATGGCAGGAAGGCTCCAGAGCCTGCCCGTTAATGTGCTCACGCCACCAGCTTCCAGCCTCTGCCAGCCCAGGTCTCACCTCCACGTCCTCGTCGGCCCTTTGCCGGTTCTGCCGCACCTCCTCCAGCTGCTGCTGGGCCTGCTGCAGGGAGCGGGTCTGCAGCGCCATCTCTTGCTGCAGCTCTTGCTTCTCCTGCTGGGCCTGCTCGATGTAGCGCTCCTGTTGCTCCTTCAGCTGCAGCAGTTGCTTCAGTTTCTCCTCCTCCTCCTCCAGCAGTCTGCCAGGCGGGCACTGTGTCGTCTACAGAGCCAAGGCACCTCGCAGGTGCTCAGCAGGTGGGACGGCTGGGGAGTCAGGGAGGGGAACCAGAAGGGGCCCCTGAATCCTACCTGGTCTGGGCTATGCGCACCGCCTCCTCATCCCTCCGAGCCTTCACCTCCAGGTGCAGGGCCTCCTGAAGCCTCTGCTGCATCTCCTCCAGTTCCTTGATGCGCTGCCGCTGCTGGGCTGCCTCCTCCTCCTTCAGCTCCATCTCAGCCTGCATGGAGGCCCGGGCCTGGAGGGGACAGAGCCAGATCAATGGGGGCTCCAGGGAGCTGCCAGGCATGCTGGTCTTTCCCCAGAGTTCTGCTAGGCCGGCCCAACTATCTACCTCTGGGTAAGAGTCTGGGTAATTCCTTCATGTCGGGGTTTTACTGATCTGATCCGTTTCTGAGAGTCTGACTCAGGCATTTAATGATAAAGAACAAATGTTATATGGGAGAAAGGGGCTCAAGTTGTCCTTCCTGCAACTAACCTTAATAATAATTATTATAAATTATAATAAAGTCCGGTCCTAGGGAGTGATTATAATTGTTATAACAAAACTGTTTCCTCATTTGATCCTCACCATACCTCTATGAGCAAAATTCTATTAGTATCAACATGTCACTAACAGGTCATTAAGACTCCGGGAAGCTAAGTAACTTGCAGAGTTCACAGGCCTCTTAAGAGGCAGAGCTGGTATTGAATCCACGTTATTTGTGATCCAGATTTAGATCTCTTAAATCCTAAATCTAATTGCCTCTACATGCCTTGTCCGCCTCCACTTTCGTTTCTCCTTATCCCCCATCCTGCATTTCCCCAAAGTAGTTTCATTGTAAACTCAGATCAAGTCTAGTCCAGCGTTGGTCCAAACTCATCCCTAACGATGCTGTCTTTAGCAGCCCCTCGGTCCAAGCGCCTCCCCCAAGCAAAGGTCTCCACACCCAGCATTTAGCGCCGGCCCCACCCATCTATCGGCTCAGGTCCCGCCCCCTACCAGCAGTCATCTCAAGCCATCTCGCGGCCAGGGTCCTGCAGTCCTTATCTTCCTTATCCCACAGGTCCTGACCTGATACAGGTCCTGTCCCGTATGACCTGATACAGGTCCTGTCCCGTATCCATATTTCAAGCTCACCGCAGTCCCTCATTCCAAGCCCCGCCTCCACACGTACCGCTCAGCCCACGGGCTCCGCCCACGGCCTAGGCCCCGCCCCCACCCACAGCTGCGGATGTTTCGCCTCACCTCACCCCTCAGCCTGCCTCCCCTGCCCAGGGGGTGGGCCCTACCTGCTCTGCCTCGCGCAATTGGCCCTCCAGCTCCTGCTGAAGCTCCAGGTGCTGGCTGCGACGCCGCTCTTCCTCTTCTTGCAGCAGGCGCTCGGCCTGCCGCTGCGCTTCCTGCAGCAGCTCCAGCTCCTGCAGCTTCCGCTCCTTCTCCTCCTGTAACTGCTGCAGTCGCAGTAGCTCCTCTTCCTTGGCTGCCCGGCGCCGCTCCCGCTGCTCGCGCTGCTCGCGACGCTTCTGCTTCAGGTCCTTGTGCAGCGACGTCTTCCCCTCGGCCTGGAGCCGGATCGCCGTCTGGATGGCTGCGGAGGTAGCCGGAGTGGGTCAGCAGCGGGGCCTTGAGGTGGCCCACTGCTAGAAAGGGGTCTTAGTTGCTCGAGTACAGCCACTGCTGGAAAGTGTTATCACCCCCTTTCACAGATGAGGCGACTGAAGGCCCAGGCTGACCCAGGCCACCCAGCAAGCACTCACCAGCCGTCCACTCCTGGCGCTGGCGCGTGTCTGAGGCGCTCATCTCATATGTGCGGGAGGCTGTCTTCACGCAGAACATGCAGCGCTTCCCTTCTCTGTCGGGCAGCACCTGGGAGAGGGCAAAGGCTCCAGACAGGTTGGCTTCACTGGGGTCGGAGCCACATCTGTCCCGTGGGTGCTCCAGCTCCGGCCCCTACCCCTTCTAGCTGTCCATCTTCCCTAGGCACCCCTCCCACTCTTCCAGGAGCCTGCGTGATTTGGCTTGGAGAATAATTAGAGAGAAACTTGTGTCCCCCCACAACTCTTGTGGAATTGGCTCTGTGAAGGTGGGATGGGGCCATTTCCATCCTGGTACTTTTCCATGGGGTCTAGCACAAAGTCACTAGTCAGTATTCATGCAGATCATGCTCACACACCTCCAGCGACAGGGTCCTCACTATCCAGACCATTCATTTTCACATAGTTCTGCTTGTAAAGAAAGTTCTCCATTCATTCATTCCACAGTTATTCTGAAGTGTCTACTGAGTGCCACTCATTGTTCGAGGCATTTGGGATTCTGAGGTGTACCTAACAGAACTTCCTTTGCCAAGTTTACATTCTAGTAGAAAGTAAGAGCGACCATGTATCGTGCATCTCATGTTCTAGAGCTTTCATATATGCATCATTTTATGCATTCCTCTTACCCAACCTTGCCAGGCAGGCATTGGTAGCTCCACTTTACAGAGAAAGAAACAGGTTCTAAGAGGTCCAGGAACTTGCCCAATTCACACTGCCTGTTCATGGTGGAGGTGGGATTTCTGCCTAAATCTGTGCTCTTTCCACAGTGGCACCTGTTTCCTTATATGACAAAAATGGACAGATTCTAGGATAGCTATAATAATATATATATTTTTAATGTATAACAAAAAGTATTAGCGAGGATGTGGAGAAACTGGAACCCTCATACACTGCTTGGTAAGAATGTAAGACAGTGCTGCCACTACAGAAAACAGTTTGGCTGCTCCTCAAAAAGTTAAACAGAATTACCACATGATCCAGCAGTTCTACTCCTAGATATGTACTCAGAGAAATGAAGACATACATCCACCCAGACACTTGTATATGGATGTTCAAAGCAGCACTATTTACAAAAAGATGGCAATAACCCAAAGTCCATCAGTGAATGAATGGAGAAAGTGCACTTTTCCCTCTACACAACGGAATATTGTTTAGCCACAAAAAGCAATTTGTCACTATGGCTTTTGTCCACTCACCCTTGTCCTGACCGCCTTGCCTTCACACCACATTGGAGAGCCCCGGGGCCCTGAGGTGTGCTCCACCCTTCACTGCTCCCCTCACCTCCACGCAGCACTGTGCATCCAGCGGGATGGTACCCCTTTTCTCCTTGCACTCTTCACTCCCAAAATAGCAGAGGCAGCTGGGTTGCAGCTGGAACCAGCGTTCTGCCCAGTTCCTCCTCAGGTGCCCTCGCTTCCACAGGTAGCCCTGCCAGCCAAAGCAAAGTGAGAGGTTTTGCTGGACCCCCGTTCACCTCTCTTTGGGGTCCTCCCCAAGTTCCCAGCTTGGCCTGACCTGCTTCAGGACATCTTGGATCAGTTCCTGGTACACCTCATGGATGGCCATGCTGAGGGCATCCCGCCCCACACCTCGCAGACAGCGGCCTGAGTTGAAGAGCTCCAGGAATTGCCAGACGCTGAGCCCCCCAGTAGTCTGGGCTGCCTGGGCCTCCTGGGCCAGCAGCTCCTCCAGCTCACCCATGCCCACCTCCAAGCTCATGCTGTTGAGCACCTTCTTCAGCAAGTATTCTACCTGGAGGGGGAGAAAGATTTGGTGACTACAACAGGCAGTGTCACCGGTGCCAACACCAGGGGGAGCTCCCATCTGGCTCCCAGAGGCTGAGCAGAGGTGACCTGGGACAGGTGCTTGTGGGGTGGGGGAAGCAGACCAGGGTAGAGATTTGGGAGGGGACCCTGGAGCCCCAACCCCAACTCAGGCATCCCCTCCCACTCTCCAACCTCCAGTCCCACTCTTTTCTGCCTGAAATTAGGGGCAGGGTAAAGATGGGAATCGAGGGCCGGGGGTCAGGCAGAGGCAGCAAATCATAGAAAATGTCAGAGCACATACAATGGCCTCTTATCCAATACCCTCACCTTGCAGATGACAAAACTGAGGTACAAAGGGGCAAGTGACTTGTTCTAAATCATACAGCAAGTTGATGATAGCCAGAACTTGATTCAAATCTGAAACTCATTTGAGTCCTTATTCCAAGCCCTAAGCCCCAAGCCCCAATCCTGGGGATCCTTCCCTTAGGGGAAAGCAAGGGGATTGGGTGTGGGGGTAAGCAGGGTAGGGACAGGAAACCTGTTACAGAGGAACAGGAAGTGGTGGTTGGGGTACATCCTGCTGCAGTTCGTTCACTCTGCATGTTGATTACAGCAGCAAGCAGCTTTCTAGCCTCTGAGAGGCCACGTGGCCCTGACTGGTAGGGGTCTAGCAAAGGTGCCCAGCTGGATGTAGGTGTAGATGGACACATGTCCCTCTTCTGCCCCAGTAGTTTCTTGTGAAACTCTCTCTAGGGCTTCCAGTCTGGGGACTATGAGGTACCAGGTGGGAGTAGGGTGGGACGTACTAGTTCAGGGTTCAGGTGGCTCCCCTCACCCTTCCCACAAATAGAAGCAAGGACACAAATTTGAGTGCAGTTAGACATGCAGGACTTCCTGTACACACAGAGGCCCCTACCCTATATTCCCTAAAGACCTAAATTCACCCTGGAATCTTCACAGCCGCCAAGAGAGCTTAAGGGTCAGGAGAAGGCTGAATGGACAGGGGAGAGGTAGAAAACAGAAGGAGGGTGCAAGCTGACTGGCAAAGGGGGACATCTGTCCTGGCTTCTCCCATGAGTTGGGGAGATAGGTGCAGATTCCAGGCCTCTACTCCTAGAATGCCCTATCTGGGGCCCTGAGCTGAGTCTGCCCTGGCTCTCCCCCATATCATAGAAGACAGGAAAGGAAAATCTGAAACTTGGGCCAGACTTGGTAGCCCACCTGGAGTAACTGGAGAGCTGATTCCTCACATAACAGCCTTTTCAGATTGCCACAGTGCCTAAAATCCTGCCATTTGAATGTAAATGTTTTTATTTTGAAATACCCAGTAATATATCAGGCATTTACACCTCTGTGTATATAGAATTTGCAGATCATTTTCCTTCTGTGAGGGCTAGCAGAGCCCTGAAGGAAGGGTAGTTTTGGTTCTCCTGGGAGAAGGCACAAATGCTCTGATATGGGCAATTCTAGGCATCTGGAGACAGCTGGGTATGGACAGGTACCAGCACAGAGAGGCAAAAAAGAAACAGGTGCAGGAAAGTACAGAGGCAATTTAGCCTCCTTCAAGGTTTTGCTGAGGCCTGGCCCCAAGTGATGTAGTCCTTGGGGCTGCCCTCACCCTTACCTCATCAGGAACCATGATCAGAGGGTACTTGTCCTCAGATAGGAAGTTGAAGAGGCACCAGAGGCGGAAAGCGTCCTGATTGGAGAGCATGCTGTTCCCATTGCTATCCACCTGATAGTTCTTCTTGGCCGTCAGCGTCCAGCACAGTTCATCGAAGTGCTCCTTAATGAAAGCCCCCTCCTCCACCTCCCACCAGGCCTGCAAGTCAGCCAACAAGGCTGCCCCATCCCTGTCCTACCAGCAAACTAGGCCCCAGCTGGTTTCTAGGGTCACCTATTCCCCTGCTCCCCACTTTGGCAAGTCCAGGCTCTAACCTGAGGAATCCCTGAGCTGATTACCAGACAACTTGTTTTAACCACCCTGCCAGCCCACCACTCCCCAGCACATCCATACCCACCCAAGCTCCCTGCCAGCAGAGAAAGTCTAGTCAGCCCAGGGGAGAAAGAAGGGGAAGCCCAGAGTGGAGGGGGAATGGACAGTCAGGAAGAATCTGAGAAGACAGTAACTGCTGGGAGGAGCAGGGGGTGCAGCATGGGGGAACTAGAGAGCCCTTTGTAAAAGTTACAGCTGGAAGTTGGAGGTGGGCCTAGGCAAGGATGGGCGGTAGGTTAAGAGAAGGGTGGAGGCTAGGATAGAGATGAGGGAGATTGAGGGTGAGTTAAGTGGGCAAGTGGCTGGGGTATGAAGGATGGAGATGGGGTAGCAGAGATGGACAGAGGGGACAGAAGTGGGAATTTACAGTGGGGAGGAGTTGGGGTGGCAATGAGTTGGGGTGCTGGCCCGGTTGAGAAGTAGGGAGAGGTCAGAGGTACCTTGCCCCCAAGTTGGCCTACCTTGTCCAGGATGTACTTGTTGAGGTAGGGCATGTATCCCTGGCTGGACACAGGGCCATCGTCATCATCTCGGAAGTGCTCCTCCAGAGCCACGGGGTCATGGGGGATGTGTAGGACTGTGTACAGGTTGTGGGACAGCACCTAAGACAGAGTGGCAGTTTGCCTTCCTATGTTCCGACCAAAACTGGGCCAAAGGACTGCTCTCACCTCTTTGCTTGTCCCCACCCCTGTCCTGGCTAAGACCTCTGCACACATTATTTGATTTGATCATAACTAAAGTGTGCACATACATACACTGGAATATTATCCAGTCATAAAAAATGAAATCTTGCTATTTGTGACAACATGGATGGACCTTGAGGACATTATACTAGTGAAATAAGTTAGAGAAAGGCAAGTACCATATCATCTCACTTATATGTAGAATTAAAAAAAAATACACAGGGAACAGATTGGTGGTTGCCAGAGGTAGGGTTGGAAGCAGGTGAAATGGGTGAAGGTATAGACTTCTAGTTATAAAATAAGGCATGGGGATGTACTGTACAGCATGGTGGCTGTAATTAATACTGTACTGCATATTTGAAAGCTGCTAAGAGTAGATCTTAAAAGTTTTCATCAAAAGAAAAAATATGTTTTGTATCTACATGTGGTAACAGCTGTTACCTAGATGTGTGGTGATCATTTCACAGTATATACAAATATTGAATTCTTATGTTGTATACCTGAAACTTATGTCAATTATACCTCAATATAAACAAAAAAACTAAAACTTATACACTTACTATGTGCTAAACACTTTATATATAATTCACTTTATCCCCATAAGAACTGTTAATATCCCCATTTTAAATATGAAAAAATCCTAGGCCATGAGATGTTAAGTCATTCACCCAAGGTCACAGAGCTGGCAGAGCTGGGACTCAAACCCAGGAAGCCATGCTTTAGCCACTTCAGTAAGTAGGGGTGTCCTCCTTCTACAGACAAGGGCACTGAGGCTGAAAGGATTCAATAACTTGCCCAAGGACCCACAGTCAAGAGTCTGGGATTCAAATTCAGCTCCACAAATCCCAAAACCCTCGGGCTTACTATACTGCTGGGTTGTCTGCAGAGAGGCTGCCTGTCACTCCAGGGCAGAAGCCCACAATTTAACAGAGCTTCCATCAAAGATTCCATATTCAGACTGCAGGGTGCCTAGCACCCAGGTGTGTCTGCTCAGGGAGGGTATGTGCAGTTCCAGCCCTTCTAGTTGGAAGGGAGCTGGAGAGGCCTCAGAGAAGGATCATAAATAATGATCTGTGGGATGTGGAGGACAAGGCCTAACACGGATGGCTGCCACAATGGAGTGGAGGAAAAACGGGTTGGCTAACAAACCCATGACCCTAGAATAAAGAGTTCAAACAAAAAGTTTGAACAAGGAGATCAGGAAAAAATAAAATCGCCTTGGGGTAATTCTGTTAGAGCGGTTATCACAGACAGTGACTATTAAAACAGTCACTCCTGCACACCTACTATGTGCCAGTCACTGTACAAGGTGCTTTGTATACCCCATGTCTAATCTCCACAGCTATGATACACATTGTTACTCGTTTTTCAGATGAAGATAGCAGGGCTTGGAGAGGTCAAGAGTAAACGGCAGAGCTGAGGTTGGAACCAGAAGTGCCCATCTCTGAAGGATGCCTCCCTATTAAAATACTGACCCTGAGCCTCTTTCCCCAACTAGACTGTGAAGTCTGGAGACAAGGTCTCTGTTCATTTTTATGTCCCACAGCACCTATGACTTTTTCTATACACCAAAGGCAGTAAATAAATGCTGTATTCAAGGGCTGCTTCCTCCACCAGCAGTTAGCCTTGGAATCAGTTCCTCTGAGGCAGGAACTGGCAACATCTCAGATGGCATGTGTGCCAAGTCTTCATTTCGTTATTCTCTTGTGTGAGAGGATGGGGAGAAAACAGTGAGACTTCTCCCCAGTGTTCTCCTGGGCCTCAGGTTCAACTCAGCAAAGTACAAAGTTAGGGGGCCCAGTAAGGGGATTGGTGTGCTTCTTCCCTCCCTTCCCTCTGGGCAGCCATCGCTGGCCCCTACCCCAGCCCTCGTTCCCATGCTTTTCAAATGATCTCAAGTACCATCTTTGGTTTTGCTTTCTATTGTTCCCGAGGACATCTGAACTTCTTTCCTGATAAGCTGTTTGCCTTCCCTTACTCCTGTAATGGAGGCTTGACTTGCCTTTGAGAAATCCCTCTCCCCCATTCTTAATGTCTGTGGTATTGACCATTTGCACCTCTACCCCACCTGGTCTCAAGGGCAGGCACATTGGAAGCCATGGTGATTGGTTAAGGATGGGCATGTGACCAAATCTCGGTCAATGAGAATCAGCCCTATGACTTTTGCTTCCTCTAGCGGAAAAAACATAGACTATTTTCACAGGATTGTTAAATGGTTAGAAGGTAAATTCCTTCACCCTCTGAGGCTCAGTTTTGTTGTCAGTAAAACAGGAGATGATACCCGCCATGCAGAGGGGCTGGGAGGAGGGAATGAGAGGATAAACACAGAGTGCTAGAGTTAGGTCCACACAGAGCAAATGTTAGTTCTCTTTCTGCATAGCAATTTTTTACCTAACAAATTGACTTAGTTGCAAAAGACTGATAATATCAAGTACTGAAGAGGTTGTGGAGAACTTGGGGCTCGTGTTCCCTACTGTTAAGCCATGAACTGGAAGTCTTTCTGGAGGGCAAGAATCTGCCAAAGCTAAAATTGGGCATGACCCCAGCATTTCTAACCATCCAACCTGCAGATGCTCAAGGGAATAGAGCTATGTGTACAAGAATGTTCACTGAAGCATTATTTATAATATGAGAAATTGGAGACAGTCTGAAGCTCCTTCAACAGGGCATAGGTACATCATGTCAAGAAAATACGTGTGGCTGCAAAGGTTTTACTTCTGCCACATGTATCCTCACAGGCAAGTGATTTACCTTTTCCAAGACCTTAGTCTCCTCTGTGAGGATAAGAAAGGGGCTTGCTCCATAGAGTGCTTTGAAATAAAGAGCTTAGCACAACACCTTGTACATAGTATACTGCTTAACAAAAGTCATGAGTTATTTTTATTATTATATTTGTATAAACAGACATGGAAAGAGATGCATAATATACAGGCAGGTGAAAAAAAAAGCAAGCTATAGAATGAGATGTTGGTAAAATAAATATGTGCGCAGAGATTAGGTTGAACCATATCAAACTATATCAGTAGGTCAAAACCATCATGTTGAAGCAATTTCATATGGTTCAACCTAATATATTTATTTGTAAATATAAAAAAATCTAGAAGACTCAGCAAACTGTTAACACCTATCACCCCACCACCCCTCCCCAGCTGAGGGAAGGAACTTTTATCTTAACATTATATTTGTCTTTGAATTTTAAAAATCAGTAACATGTTTTACTTTTGGGATAAATTTCATTGTCTTTAAAATTATATTCTCCCACACTCTGATTTTCAAACAGGAGCATATATTGTTTTTATGACAAAATTTTAAAACTATAGAGATAAAAAACAAAGGGTTCCATTAACTGCTGTTATTAATATACCCTGTTATTAAGTTGATCTTTAGTAACATTCTTTTGCTGTTCTTGTTTGTGTGAACATTTCTGGGTGCTCTATATTCCTTGAGAGCAGCAAGGACTCTAATTTCAACCCTGACTCCAATGTCCTCCACATGATGAATGTTTTTGACTAACTCAAGTCTAGCTTAACTGCTCTAATGGTTTCCCCATGTGACCTGGCCTGATGGACTTTCTCTGACCTCAACCCTCTTGCTCATTTCTCTCTGGCCCTCATGACATTCCTCAGGCCAGGTACACTCTTTCCTCAGGGCCTTTGCAATTTCTATTCCTTCAGCCTGACACATTCTTCTCCCAGGTAATGGCATGGCTCACACCCTCTCCTCCTGGTCTTTGCTTAGATGTTACTTTGTCAGGGAGGGCTTCTCTGACCCTCTTGCTTAAATTTATAACCCCATCCCCTTTATCCCCCACACTCCCTATCCCCATTTCTGCTTTATTTTCCTCCATGTTATGTATCATCTTTCATCACGATACATTTTTACTTATTTTATCATCCTTGTTCTCTGACAGCACAAGAAAGTCAGCACCACAAGGGTGGGGATTTTCTGTTTTATTCACTGCTGTATCACTGGGTCTGGAACATAATGGACAGTCAATAAATATCTGTTCCCCAGTGAATCTAAATGCTCCGCGGAGAGCAGCAGGAAAAATACAAAAGTCAGATAGACATGGACTGAATCTGAGCAAATTAACCTCACTGGGCCTCAGTTTTCATATCTTTAAAAATGTTCAAGGAGATAATGTAAACCTACTCCCACCCCAGGATGGAAGCTGCCACACAACAGCACAGTTATTTGAGCTGTTCCTCTGCTTGGTTCATTTGCCCACACTGTCCTCTGAGACCTACCTTCCTCACCTGTACCTTTTGTCAGTGGAATCTCAGGGGCCCAGGACAGACAGGCTCAGACCCCTGTGAGCTGTCAGGTGTCAGGACAAGGAATTAAAGGTGCAGGTTGGGGCTGGCAGTGGGGAAAGGGTGTGACCAGAAGAGGGTCACGCTGGAAAGGAAGTGGCAGGGGTGGAAGCTAGCCTGAGCAGGAGCTCACTGCTGATGTCAGTGAATCCATAACTCTGGAAGGAGGGACTCATTATCCTCCTTTTACAGATGAGGGAATCAAGGCTCAGAGAGGTGAAGTGTCTTGATCAAGGTCTGACTCTAGAGCCCTACCCTTGATCTCTGTGTTACACTGGCTCTGGCTGAGCATCAGAATGACCTGAGTGAAACTGAAATAAGCTGGGGCCTGCCCAGGCCTACTGACTCAGAGTTTCCAGGGGTGGGGTCCAGGTGTCTCTAGTTTTCACAAGCTGCCATTTGGGCTCCCTCAGGGACTCCCACAGTCTTACCCAGGCAGCCCCTGACCTCTGGGGTGGCAGCCATTAACCTTGAGAAGTTTCCATTTATTCTGTTTTCTCTGGAGGCTTGTGGTATGTGGCTTTCCTCTGGAGACTGGGAGTTCCCTAAAAACTCGAGTGCAGGGGCCAGACCCATGCTTCTATAATCCCTGGCCTTCAGTAGATGCAAATACAGGAAGTTTGGAAGTCCATAAAAGCACCAAGCAATGGCTGTAAAATCAATAATCTCTCTCTTCCCTCGATGGCCTATAGTCTTTAAATGTATCTAAGCGCTAAGTGATTCTTTAAAAATATACAGATATTTTTAAGAATCACTGAATGTATTTTTTCTCAGCCACAGAGTACTAATAAGTAACTACTATCATGAGGGAGGAACACCAGCAATTTTAAAAGGTGGGAATCTCTGGATTAGCTGTGCACCTGCTGAGAGCAACAACAGGCTAGAAGGGATTGGGTGTGGGCAGGGGCTCAGAAAAGGGAAAGGAGAGACTGTATCAAGGGTCAGTTTCACCTACTTGATGTACTTTTTAAAATTTATTTTCATAGGCTAGCTGAATAGCTTGGTGATCTCCAGCTTAATCCTCTGGCTTTATAGATGAAAAACTGGAGGTTCAGAGATGGGCAGTGACTTGCCTAAGTTCACCTGGCTAGGGAGCAACATAGGTCTAAACTTTTACGGCTCTGAGTCAAGTGCTTTGCACATAATTAAACATCCTACCCCTTCCTGCCATCCTAGCCCAAGGACACCAGCAGTAGGTAGGGTCAGGGCAAGGCTGATGATCCCAGCCAGCAGATTCTTGGACTGGAGTTGTTAACTTCTCTCCACCAAGGAGAAGTTTGTGTCCCTTTCCAGAGGAGGCAAGCCTGAAGCTCAGGAACTCTTGGTGGGCAAGAGACCCTCCCTGGGTTCCAGGACTCCTCTGAATGCCAGATAGAGGCTCAGGAGCCTGGGAGACCTGGAAAAGCCAAGAAGGGAAAGGCCCCAGTTTGCATTCCCTGCTTCCCCCTGCTCCTGACAGTCAAAGGGAAGTGCTCAACCTGCTGCCTCCTAAGATCTATCAAGCTGGAGACATACTGTTCCATCCACACCCCCAATTCCAGGTCCCTCACCCCAGGCCTGGCAGGGAGGAAGAAAGCCAAATTCTCAGCTGATCCCCCACTAGGCCTGAATTCAAAGCTGCTCCCTTAGGGAAGAAGTGTGGCCCTTAGGTGACCCATCATTCCTAAGGCTCCCCTCCCTGCAGCTCTGTCAAGATTGCTGCTCATGCCTAAAATTCTTTAGGGCAGGAGTTCTGGGGACCCTGCAAAAACTCATAGTCCTCAGCTGAGAAATGTGTTCAATCTAAATCTATCCTGGGCAGAAGTACCATTCCTATTGGTCTACTTTTACTATTCTCAACCCAGCTGGACAAAGCCACTGTATTTTCTACAAGAATTCAGAGAGGAAAACTCATTGGATCTCTTCACCAAACCTTCTCTTCTCTAGAGAAAACAATGAGTCAAATGCTCATTAGGGTACTTGCTAGAGGACTTGCTGTTCTTCCTCCTCCCTCTGGCCTCATCACGGCTTTGCCTGGCACCACCAGCAGCCCTTCCACCAACATGTCAGGGACCAGGCCACAGGCGGAGCATGCTCTGGGCTGGCTCAAGTCTCCTTCCTGGTCCCAGCAGGGACAGAGTAACTTCAAGTTCTTTTCCCTTGTCCCCAAATCTTTTCAAGGGCGAGGGTGGCCCTGCTAGCATATCTCACTCATCTGCTTCTTCCTCTGACTCCTGACCACTTCTCTATTGCTTTTTTGCCTTTCCGGCATCCCCACCCCCAACACTATCACTACTTCCTGTTCCAGTAACCCACCACTGGGAGATTGGGATAGCAGGGCCTTCCCTGTCCTTCCCTCCTGTACCATGGGCCCTACTATTCTGCCCCACCTACCACCTGGCCCAAGATTCCCACTGCTAGCTCAGATTCCCAGAGTAGACAAGTTTTCTGTTCAGTGGGGGAGAAATCTACCATTGATCCTGTATGACCAGAGAGGCTGCTGGCCATGGGCACCAAGTGAGCTGTAATGTGGTATAGAGTGGACAGTTCAAGTATGCAAGCTCTATATGGAAACTTAGGTGCAAATACTCAACCTGGGCGGGTGGTGACTGGGCAGCAATCCAGTAGAGGCCAAGATGGAGGCTCAAGCTAGGAAACCTTACTGGCTGATAGCAACAGGAAAAGGGGAAACACCTGAAAGCTGTCTCCTCCATATGAGGGGCACAGAGGGCCTGGAAAGGTCACAGGGGCCATAGATAGTGGAGAGGGGAAAAATACCTTGGAGAAAACAGAGGTTGGGATTGGTCCTGCAAGACATGAAAGAGGCAGAGTGGGAAGGGAATGTAGGGCATGGAATTTCTGTAGGGATGAATTTTGGATCATCTGCTTTTCTTCTGTCTGTACTGAAGACCCTACTAGAGGACATGATTGATCTGTAATGAAAGGATTTCAGTACAATGTAAGGAAGAAACTGCCTGCTGGGAAGCTCTCCCAGGTGATCAAAAGTGATAGTGGGCTCTGCTTCCTGGGGAGTCAAGAATCATTTACGGGATGCTCACAAGCCTGGCCAAAGCATAGATTATTGAACTGGGCCAGTTTGGAACCTCCAAGCTCATCTTGCCCAAGTTCAGCAAAGTAGGGGACTGCAGTAGGAATAGGGCACAATGTGTATCCTGTCCACTCATCTCTCCCTAGGTCATTAAAAATGGGGATTTCCTTGAGACTGCATCCCACTTTTGGGGGTGCCAAAAGGGAGACATCAGGAATTTAGGGCCAAGCCTCATGCCAGGCACATAATTGGTGCTCAATAAATATTTGTAGAGCAAATGAATGAATCCCTAAGGCAGGTTGCAGACAGCTGATGCCTACCCCACTCCTGTTTCCCAGTGTTCCCTGATTCCAATGGTCTAGGGGCTTGTTTCTTCTCCACTAATTAGGGTGGAGAAGACAGCACTAACCTAGGACTGGAGAAAGAAAGAAAAACTTTTTGGCCTCACAGGAATTTCTATGGCCAAGTAATGAACTTTTGGGAAATCACTGATGGGGCTCTTCCTGGGCTTGGATTCTACCTTCTCCCTATCTGAGGCCTAACGTAATAGTTTTCCTACCTTGTGTTGGGGGGGAAAGATGGTGAGCTGGGCAGCAGTATAATAATGGTGTCTTCAATCCTTGCCCCTTCACAGTTCTGGGAGACAGGGTTCAGAGGGGCTGACAGACCCAGCCTGGTTTGGGACTGAGAGAGGCTCTTTAAACCTCTCTCTCTGGGAAGGAAGCGACTGACAAGCATTAGCCAACTGTCTCTCTTCAAAGCCAGGAGGCAGCAGCAAGAAGGAGTAGGGTGTTTGACTCTGGGGAGATGTATGCTCATCTCACAGAGTCCGAGACAAAGCCTGGCCTGTGGCCCTCAGAACCCTGTGATGCCAACTCCACCCTCCCCAAAGCTGGGGGCAGGGCTGCGGGCAGTGGCTCTGCACGTACCTCCCTGGGGCCTCTGGACAATGGACAGCAGCATCCACCAGACCAGGTTGCCCCAGTAACCCAGTACTGACCCCCCACCCCAGGCCGTGGCCTCTGGATGGCTGGGTGCCCCGGGAATAGCAGTGTTCACGCCTGGCCCCAGGAGGCAGGCACAGTCTGGTGAGGTATGTCTGCTGGCCTCCCCTGGGCCACGGGTGCGCCTCACCTTGAGCTGGGACTTGGAGACCTTGCCGCTCTTCTCCACATCCAGGGCGGTGAAAGCATACCAGATGGATTTAAGCAGCTCCTTGCGCAGGGCCATGGCTGAGGCGCCCGCCCGGCCCAGGGGCGGCTCTGACACCAAGATCCGGTTTCAGGAAATGCAAACGGCTGCAGAGACCGCAGAGGAGCCATGGCGCGGAGCGAGAGCTCCACCTGCCTGCTTGCGAGGACTCCCTGTGCAGGCAGGAACTGGCCTGTTGCTCTTGCAGTGCTCAGCGACCCCACGCCTTGCATGGGAACTGGGTCCCAAGCCCCAGAAAGCTAGATCCCGGTGCTGTACAGCCTGCTTCCCTGGGTATGAGGCCCTTTAAAAGCCTCCTCAGCCCAGACCTTTCTGGGCCGCCAGGGCTCCCAGAGGCAGCTTGCTGAGGGCAAAAGCAGGCCTATCCTGACTTTGGAGTCAGGAGGGGCAGGAAGGGATGAGAGGAGCCTGTCCCAAATCCACTTACTGGGTGGGAGGCCTTGGATAAATTACTTAACCTCCTTGATCAGTTTTCTCATTGGTAAAGCAAGAAAAATACCCACCTCACCAACTTGTAAGAAGGCCTGAGAATGGACATAAAGCCCAGTGTAGGTGAGGATAAAGCCCTCCTTTTAGTGCCATCTGACATTACTGTGGTGGTGGGGCTCCTCCCAAGAGGAAAACAAAGGCAACAACACAAAGCTGGAGGAGGAACTTGGCCAGGGCACCTCTCCAGATCAGGCGGACTTGGCACGTGACTTGCTGCCTCCCCATCCTCTGGGCTTTGGCTCTAAAACACACTCTTGAGCTTTGCCTACTCTGGGGCTCATTGGCCCCGAAGCACATGGGCGAGAGAGTAGTGGTGGAGCCCACTTTAGGGGTGTTGGCATAGGAGGCTTGGGATTTAGGAACCTCCATAGCAGTGCTTCCATTTCTTCAGATCCATTGCCTGTGGTGGCTGGGACATGCCCCTGCCAGGAACAGTAATCATGGGCATTGAGGAAGCCTGCAAGGGCAACGGAGACAGGAGACATGCCCCTCCCTAGGGGCTTGCTGAGCCCCCTCTGATGCCAAGGAGTTGCTGCCAAGAGTAAGCAGGAGCTTGCTAGGCATCCCAGGAGAGGATGCCTGAGTAAGGTGAGAGGATTCCATTCCCAGGTAGTGGAAGGAGCTTGGGGCACATCCATCACACCGGAGAGAGGGAACAGGCACTAATCCCTACAGTGTTCCTGTGCAGGAGGGGACAAAGCCAGAGAACTTTCCAGCAGGTCCCTTCCCTTGTACCCCTTCCTTTCCCCTGGGGCTGGTCTGGTCCTACCACACTCTTCAGTATGCGCTGACTGTGGTTTTGGAATTCAGACACCCAGGTGGGCACCCTTAGGGCTGGGAACCAGTGCCAGAGTAGCAGAGGCATCAGAGACCCTCAGTAACCTCAGCAAAGGCACCCCCTACCCCAACTCCAGCACGGGGTTCTGTCCACGTGGGGCAGCTGTGTGCAGTGTGGATATGCGGGGTGGGAACGGCTGGGTGTGGAGGGGCTCTACTGATGCAAGGAAAGGGTGAAAACGAGCTCCTCCACCCCAACCATCCTGAGGCCTGAGGTCCAACAAGAGCCTAGAAGCAGTGGTCACACTAGTCCTGTTTGGCCACCCTGAAGCCCACCTATTGAGCTGGGCAGGAAGCCACTGGCAGCCCCTCAGGGCTTATTTCACACGCGGGCTTTCTCCCAGCTGTGCCCCTGGAAGGTGGTCCCACCAGTCCAGCACGGAGGCTCAGTAGGGTTTGTACTAGGAGAGAGGACTAGCAGCCTGTTTTGACCAACCTTGCCACCAAGGCCCAAAGCTTAAAGGACGGAAGGAGGGATCCAAGTGGAAACCTGGAACTTTTATTAAATAGTGATTCACCCATTTGCCACCACCTCCCAGAGCAAGAAAAAAATTATCAAAATGGAATTTAAAAAACAAACCAAATTAAACCCAATCCCCAGAATGTACAAGGCTCCTCCCCATCTCTCCACTAGAGGCTGGAGGGCAGCTGGGGGTGGGGGTGCTGGGCACCTTCTCTCCAGCCACAGGCTCCTGAGCAATTCTGACTTCAGTGGCAGGAAGTCCCTGCTGCCAAGTGGCCAGGCATCTCGGCTGCCCTCTGGGGAGGCGGTTATTGCTGGGAGGGACAGGTCTGGTCCTGCTCCGCCCCTGTTGGGCTGAAGAGCTGTCTGCCCTGTCCTCTGGTGGGCAGTGACCAGTCAGAGTGAAGGACTGGTCTCCACAGCAGCCCCAATCACTCCTAGAAGTGGGGTAGATTGCAGGCGGGAAGGCTGTTCTCTGGAGGGAGGAGGGTGTGCACCCCGCTGACTCGGAGGGCAGGATGCTCCAGTGCAGCCCGGGGATCAGGCTAGTCCTCCTTAGCTCCTGAGGACGATGAACTCTCCAGAGGCCAGCTGCCAGCTCTCCTCTTAGGCAGGGCCCCTGTCCCCTTCAGTTAGACCATTTTCCTGCTGCCTTCTGGCCCTGGAGACCTCATGGCCACCTTTCATCATGTCAGCCACAGCCTGGGCCTTTGGAGGCAGGGATGTCTGTGTGGCATGGCACCTCCTCATTGTGGGGTGGGACCCAGCCCTCTCAGGCTCAGCATCCACTCTCTGACTCTGTGCTCTCCAGTGTCATGGTGCCATGCTGCATGGTGGCAGTGGCCACGCTGATGGCCTCCTCTAAGGTCTGCTGTTCTTCCAGCTGCAGCAAAGGGAGTGGAGAAGGAAGGAGAGAGTGAGACCCTCACTCCTAGATTCTAGTGGTAATATAGTATGTGCTCTACTTTTTTGAATTCCCTCCATCCATGCTGTGCCACACACCAAGCACTTAGTAGGGCTGCCCAGAACAGGAAGTTCACTGATAAAGAGTCCTCCTAGGCTAGGCATGTCCAGGGGGCCAACAGAACACCTGGGTCAGAGAGATGGGCTTGCTCACAGAAGGGAAGGACTAGTTGGAGAGGCTCTTGGTAATCACCTACTTCAGTCTCCTTGTTTTCCTGATGAAGAAAAGGAGACACTAATAGATGAAGGGCTTGGACAACCAGGTAGACTGCCATCAGAGTTATTCTGAAGGATGGAAGGGGCTTCACCACTCTACCTCAGTGAAGAGAGAGCCTGAGATAAGTATGTGGATGAAGTCAGAAAGGGATTTGTCCTCTGACATTTTGAGCCAAATGCCCTTCTCTTCAAGATGGCCATCTAATTCCCCTCCCTTTCTTTTTCTCTGGCTGAGGGATCCTCCCAGACCTCTATTCACCTGCACTGCAATGTGGGTTCCGTTGGCTGTGGCCAATAGCGCCACCTGTTGATGATGGCCACTTGGGTCTTCAGCCACCACAGCCCCAGAGGTAATGATTGTGACCTGAAATAGAGAACAACAACCCCATGTACCTTACTCTCCGTTCCCCAATTCAAATTAAAATCCCTCCAAACAAGGTGGCTGGAAACTCAGAAGGATAAAATTATTATGAGCCAGATTAATTATCTTGGTGCTCAGAGCTAAGAGGTTATGTTTTTCTCTTACCTACAGCCAATTTAATTTAGGGATTTTGAATCATAGAACAGAGCTGTAAAAGGCCCAAGAGATAATTTTGTGCCTTCACCTGAAAATGGACTGAAGTCCATGAAAAACTAACTTGTCTATGGTACCAAATCAGAGGGGTGGATCAGATCTAGGAACTCTCTCTTGACCCCCAGTGAAATGTTTTTCCAAAAGGAGAGTTGCTGATGGTCCAGAGGCACTGTGGGTGGGGAAGACCCTTTTTTTGTAGGGCAAATCTTGGTCCTTGTAAGAAGGCTTGACTAGTTTAGCTTGCACTTGAATGCCTACCCCACAGAAAGGAAGGACAAGAGAATAAGAAACCCCAAGCAAACCGCCTGGTCATACGGGCTGCGTCTGGGTGCCATCGACGCTGACCATGGTGACTGTATGTGTGCTGGATGTGGCAAGGTCATCGTCGTGACTGGGGATGGCAAGGGTGGTGCCGCCTTGCTGGGTCACCATACTGATGGCACTTCCAAGGGCCTGCAGATCTTCTGGAGACAGGCTGACCTGCCGACAGGAAGAAACAGCAGCTGGGTGTGCAGTGAACACCCAGCTGTCTGAAAGCCCTTAGGCAGAGGTCTCCCAGACAAGGTTATCTTATTGGTAAGCTAGATTAACTTTAAGTCACAGAGGTGGAGGAGGTCAGGGGCAAGCAAGCAGAACAGGTCCTAGGTTGCAAGGAGAGGCTATTATTCTGCTGACCTCTTCTGTTCACACCATTTTGCCTCTGGGTTCTGTTCCATGCAATTCAGGATTGAAATTAGGATCTCCAACTAATTTCACCCTCATGTCAACTCCAAAAGGCATAGGTACACTTGACAGTGACAGTACTGACAAGGGTCAAGTTATCCTCCTGGCTAGAAACCCCAGGTTCTAGACCCCACACCATGCTCTGGCCTCTACACCAATATGCCTGTCTTGAGAAGGACATCCAAGTGTCTCATTCAGATGATCGGGACCTGTCAGCCTCCATGTAATGAGGGAAACTACTATTTGTGCTTCAGAATCCCAGAGACTGAGCTTCAAGGGCAGAGCTGAAAAAGGTTCCTAAGGAGGACGAGGGGCTGGGTTCCAAGATTTGGTCCCCTCAGCCTCAGCTAAAAACAGGAATTGTGTAAAGATGGGGCTGTCACAGTGAGAATGGGAGAGGGTACCAACCAGAGTGGCCCACCCCACCCCTACCCCAGGGCCTGTTACCTGCTGGGCACCACCCTGAGTGATCAAAGCCACTTGGGGGGCCCCGTCCTCCTCGGTCACCATGGCCACTTGGGCTGGGATGTCATCACCCTCTTCTTTCACCTCCGAAAGGTAAGCAATGTGGGGTCGTTTGCGGGGTGGGCTCTCCTCGGCTGCAGAGGCGGCTGGGAGAGGAGAGCCCAGGCTGACACCTGCCACTGGATGGCCACTGGGAGGCCTGGCTTGTCCCCACTCTCACCTCCTGCCCATGCCCCTCACCCTCGAGCTGCTGTTGTTCATAAAGGGCCTGCTCGCTCTCTTCTGTGGCCTCCAGCTCGCCGTGGGCGCTGCGCTTGTGCATGGCCAGGGTGGAGGTCTGCCGGTAGGTCTTGCCACAGGTGCTGCAGGTGTAGGGCTTGCAGTGTGTGTGCACCACGTGGTGCTTATAGAGGCTCGAGTACTCGGTGAAGCGCTTCCCGCAGCCTGGCACCGTGCAAACGTATGGCTTCTCCCCTGGAGACACTGGGCTGTGAGGGGGGTGGGAACTGGAGCTGGCAAGGGGGTGGGGGTGGGGACCAGGGCTGGTGAAGGGAGAGCCAGAGGCAAGAAGAGGGACTGAGGCCTGGAACTCTGAATGGAAGTGTTGGGGAAGATGGCCAGTGGAATACAGAGGGCCAGAGTGTGGGACCACTGAGCCCAGAGACAAGGTGGAGAGAAAATGAGGGGACAGGACAAGGGGACAAACTGGGCGAGTGAAGGGACTGGTGGGGGGCGCTGGAGGCTTATAAGGTTGAGGGTTGTGAGCCAAAGAGGCAAGAGCTAGAGGGGGATGACTGACGTGTCAGGTATGATGGGAGAGAGACACTTGGCTGAGCTATGACAAGGAAGGCTGGGTGAGGGATGTGACACTGGGGAGGAGACACAAGGGGCATATGGAGAGTGGATGAGGTGAGGAGCTGAAGGTGGCACTTCACTCTGCTTTTTCCCCTTCATGCCTGACCCTGGCCTTTTTGGGGGCTCAGTTGGATGGAGAGAACTTGGGGTGGGTGTAGAGAGGTGGCAGGGAGCTAAGAGGGAACCGATCATGGTGAGTGAGGCTGGTTCTGCGGAGACAGCTGGAGCCACAGAACCCCCTTGCCCAACCCACAGACTGGCCCAGAATGGCCAGAAGGGAAGGCTCTGGGCTGGGAGTTAGGAATGTGTCTCAGGGCAGAAGCCTATGGTAGAAGGGCTGGGGCCTCAGAGGGGTGGTCCTTGCCTGCCAGCTGGCCCACCTGTGTGGATGCGCACGTGATTCTTGTAGTTGGTGGCACTGGTGAAGCCACGGCCACAGTGGGGCTCGGGGCAGGTGTAGGGCCGCTCGCCTGTGTGGGTGCGCACATGTACCTTGCGGATATTAGATGTGGTGAAGGAGCGGCCACAGCCCTCGAAGGGGCACCGGAATGGGCGTTCACCTGTGGAGATGGGGTGTGAGAGAGGTGGCTCAGGAAGGAGAGGCAAGCTGGAACAAGGCTAGGGGTGGAACCAGCCTCTAGGTCTAAGGATGATGGGCAGGAAGGGTGGAACCAGCCTACCGGTGTGGGTCCGGACGTGCTTCTGCAGGTCTCCTGAGGTCTTGAAGGCCTTGCTGCATAGCTCCTCTGGGCACTTGTATGGCTTTTCTCCAGTGTGGGTGCGCACATGGCTCTTCAGCCCATATCCTGTCCACATGTTGGAGAGACGGGTGACAACAGCATTCAGTGGGGCCTAGTGCTCTGCCGTCCCATCTTCTTAATTCAGAAGCTGTCCATCTTGAGCTGTGTTCTTTGAGGCTCCAGACTTCCTTTGGCACAAGAAGCCTGTATCTGCCTCTATCCCACCCCTGCCTGCGCTGATAGGAGGGGCTGGAAAAGCCCACTCTGCTATCCTTTCCTCTCTAAGGGTAGCTGGTGCCACTCCAGAACGTGAGTGTGAGAAAGCCTACGGCTAGAGGTCCTTGTTTCAGGGAGATGCAGTGGCCATCCATACCCGACAGCTGGCTGGTCAGAGCTAACACAAGAGGCAGGGTCTCTCTACCACACCCCTAGGCTCATTCTGCTGGCCGGCACCATGCTGTTTCTCACTTTCCTAACAGTTTCCTCCAGAGGCAGAGCCCTGCAAGTCAGAGCATTCTGACAGCAGTTTCTTTGGGATGGCAGCCTGGTGGTGGGTTCCCTTCAGGGAGTTCTCAAAGCTAATCTAAAGCCCTCTGCCCTTAGCTGGAAGGAGTCTACTTTTGGTCTTGATCCATGTAGGTTACCTGTGGCAAAGGCCTTTCCGCAGCTAGGGAAATCACACCTGTATGGACGGTCACCTGTATGAGCTCTTTCATGCACCTGTGAGGATAGCAATCATATAATTCAGAGGGACAAGGGGATGAATGGGCTCTTCAGTTCTCTTTAGGGCCCAGAGTTATCACTACTGGCCACCTCCTTTATTTTGCCTCCTTTTCAGCTGAGAGGCCACCTCCTCCAGAGAGCCTTCCCCGATTCTCTTCCCTCCTGTACTCTTCACACCTGTCACAGCCCCCCTGCTGACATTTCTGTACACTACTCTCTTGCTTCCAGTAGGCAATAAGCAACTTGAGGACAGCCAAAGCAGGAAGGTAAGAATTACAGCCTGGGTGGGAAGATAGCAAGGCTGAAAGCTGTCTGCAGCAGCCTTACCTTTAGGTGATGAGCAGTGGTGTAGAGACGCCCACAGCCCTTGTAGCCACAGCGGAATGCTCTGTCCCCAACCTGCTGCCCTTTGCTATTATGGGGAGCCTGGCTGTCGTGTAGAACCTGAGGAAAAAATCTTGGGGTTCCTATATGTATTCTCCTTAGCGAAGGGAAGAAGAGGTGGGTCCAGAGGGCAGCTTAAGATCCAACAAATAAGGGTTAAACCTTCCAGGGGCAGAAGGGCTGCCTGGGGTGAGAGATCCAGACCCTCGGGCACACTGCTGAATGAATAGGGCTGGCACGTGGAGTCACCACCCATCTCTAATGGATATGGGGAGGACTACATATCTAATGGACACTGGCTCTCAGACCAGCGCTCCCCCTTTGAACACACACAGTTGGAGGCTGCAGCTCTGGGTCCCTCTATCCTCCCATGGAAGGAGATCCCTTCCTCCTTGTGGGAAACCTGGGTTCAGAAGGGACAATAAGAGGGCTTGCTGTGGGCATGAGCTCACTTAACTGCAGTACTGGAGTGAGGTGGCCACAACCAGTAAACTACAGAGCATGCAGGGCAGACCCCTCCTTGGAGTCTCGGCTCTAACCACAGTGCCCAGCTACCTGACAAGGCCTTCCCTTTCATCTCCCCTGGGAATACTGCTAGGGCCACCTGTTTCATAGCCGCCTCTGGCTTTAGGGAACCCTTACTGCTTTTCTGCTTTCCTGGGCAGCGCCCTGCAGGAACTGTCTCTTAGTCTTTGTTTCTGGCCTCTCCAGGAGCTCCTGAAATAGAACTCTGGAAGTCATAGGGCCAAATTGATGACAAGGCTTGTCTAGTCAGCTCCAGGTCAGCTGACAAAGTATCATGGACACTTAAGCAGCTGGAGGGTGGTGGAGGAGGGTCCCAGGTGGCCAGGCCTGCTCAATGTGCTAACTTCCTGTTAGTGTTCACATTTCACTCCCATGTCTCACTAGCTCTCAATGTAATCGAGGGAAATCAAGGAACTTCAGGGCTGGAAGTGACCTCTGAGGTCATCTGGTTCCATCTCATTGTATTAGAGAGGAATGAGGGGGTGCCTGGAAGGGGAGGGAAGACTTACCCAAGATCATAGTAGGCAGAGGCAGAGCCAGCACAGATCTCAGGGCTCATGACTTAATACAGCACAGCTGTCTTTCCAACAGCAGCAAGTCCCAAATTTGGCTTCTTAAATACACCTCAGGGAACAGGGGTGGGAGTGGGCATAGTCCAAAGTGGCTTACTATAAAGTTTTGTGCTTCATTTAGAAAAGAAAGATGTGAGGATTTTTGCTTCTCCTCTATGATACAGTCACACTAGTTTTATAATAAAAACACCACCCTCCAATCGATGGGTAAAACTAGTGCTCCAGGAAGCTCATGGTTGTTTGTACCATTTCCCCTGTGGCTGGACCATGGCTCTAGCAGAGAGCTTGGATCGCCTGACATTTGGAGAGCCAAACTCCTTTTCCCTTGCAGCTGAGCTACTGTGCGGGCCTTGTGTTCCAAGAATCCCAGCTGCTCCAGAGAGTCTGCCCTCACCATTGCCTACTGAGGCTATATTCCCAAATGACTAAATGAGTTGCAGAGAAGAAATAAATACAAGAACATCTGACCTCAGTGGACTGGAAAACTAATAAAAGTCACTGGCAAGGGCTTTTTCAGACAGCCCAGAGGATTACTACAACCACCAAAAGTGAAGCTGGGCCTAAATTCCCATCTAAATTTCTTACAGCTGCCTTCCCTCTGCAGTGAGCATAAAAAAGGGCAAGTAAGAGTTGTTAGAGGCCTGGCCGGGCTGGGATACACGCCACGGGTGATGACGTGTGAGAGAAGAGTTGGGAGAACTGGTGTGGGGGACAAATGGAGTCGCTCAGGCCATGCCCAGGCACAGGCCTGTCTTCTAGAGTGGTGGCAGTTGTGGCAGGGCCAAGGGCGTGGAAGGGCGGTGTCAGTCTCTGTGAGCCAACCTTGCTGGCATACTGCTCCAGGGCCACCACTGTGTCTGTACTAAAGCCCTCGTCATCCTCTGCAGCCAGGTCCTCCAAGCCCACCTCCGTCTGCACCGCCAGGATGGTGCCATCTGGTGGCAGAGTCACAGGATGGTGAATGTAGGCGGTGGAGCCATCTTCCAGCTGCACGGCTTCCAGGGTGCTGGGGTCATAGCCCTCTGCAAGGAACATGTGATTAGCCCAGATGCTGTACAAGGGCAAGAGATATGGCTGGGACCCTGGCTTTAAGGTAAGGTGAGTATATATACCAAGGGGTGTCTCAGCGTTGGGTTTCTTAGTGGTTCACTCTGGCTGGCCCTCTTTCTGGAGCTGCCTCTCCTAAGTACGAGGTCTCTTAAAAAACACTAATTGGGAACTCAAACTCATTGAGAACCTGAGGGGACCATTGTCATCTTGCCTAGATGGTCATAAGAACCTCCTAACTGGTGGTCCCTTACCCCCTCTAGTTTCCTCCGGGCAGCACAGTATCCAGAGGGATCTTTGCAGGACACAAATGTGATCATGTTACCTAATAGCCTAAACAGTTCAACCACTGCCCATTAGTCTCACGTTAGAGACCAAGACCCTCATCCTGGTGCTCAAGCCCCAGCACTCTGGCCCCTGCCTCTCTGTTCAGCTTTATCTTACCCAGGCTGTACTCACCCCCGGTACTCTAGCTCCCAGCAGTTCCTTGGACAGACCATTCTGTCTCTGGGCCCACACCTGCTGTTCCTTCTGTTTGAAATAGCGGCCCTCCCTGCCAGCCCTCCTCTCCTAGCCAAGTCCACCTCATACTTCAGCTCTCAGCCCTCCATGAACCTGATCCCTGTTTGGGGCTATCAGTTATCCGTGATGGCTCGGTTCACATCTCTGTCCCCCAGGGCATCTGTCTGACTTTGCTCTCTGTGGTATACTTCACACCTCATAGAAGGCCTAGCATGAGGAGTCGCTCAAGAAACTACTGGTAGAAGGAATGAATTGTTAGACTTCAGTACCTTAAGAGCTTCCTTCTTAAATGTTAGTAAGCTTTTACTCCTGGTCTTGGATGACATCCTCGGGTCATATTTAAAGCCAAACTGCCATCAAGGCCCTCCGTTACTGACCCCCAAGTCTCAGCCTCCTGGGGGCAAAAACAGCTGCTCTTGTGCTCTGCACCAGAGAAATTAGGCAAGAATGCCAACCCAGGCAGGCTTGGGGACCACAGCTCCCATGTCAGCCCCAATACCCAGAGTGTGCAAGTCCATGCCCCAACCTCTGTCAGTTCTGCCTTTCCCACCTGCCACAAAGACTGACCCCACCTTTGGGTGTGTGGTGTACGTAGGCCATGCTGCCATCTTCCAGCTGTACAGGCTGTCCATCCACAAAGGAAAGAGGTTCTGTAATGAGAGCAGTGTCTGCCTTTCTCTGGCACTTCATGCCAGGGAGGGGTCCTGCAGTGGGGGCCACAAGGCTTGGGTATCTCAGGGTGCCCTCACCTTTCTGCACCGTCACTTGGTGAATGTATGCAGTGGTCCCATCCTCGAGCTGGATCACATGCCCTTCAAGCAGCTTCTCCCCTGAAGAGGTGGAAATGGAGAGAAGCAGGCCAGGCCCAGAAGAGGGCTAAGGGACACCTGCCTCCTTTTAACAAAAGCTTATCTGAGACACAATCTGCATGTCTAGGCACAGGTGACATCCTCCATGTTACTTCCCTCCCTGCTTCCCTAAGCCTGGGCCTCAGAGGTACTGGGGTTAAGATATCCTGCCATGAGGAACCCTATAGCTCCCAACAGACTCCCTGCCTGTCACTCACAGAAGGAGCAACTTCATTTAGTCTATCCAGTCCTGGCAAAGGTGGCACTTCCGACCTAACAGTAAGCTGCTGAGACTGAACTAAATGGAAAACAAAGAATGCCCTGCAACCTGGAGAGGCTTCAGTGGGTCAAAATTCAGATGTGGCTCAAACTAACCAAATCAAAATACAGTCCCTTGTCTCCCACTGTGGCAGTAAACCAAAACCTAGATCCTCTATAGTATATTAGTGACTAAAAGCAATGGGTTCTGGAACCAGCCCCATTTGAACCATCTGGAACAAAGCCTCCTAGTTTTGAATTTCAGCTCTACCTCTTACTAGCTGTGTGATCTTGGAGAGCTTATTTAACCTTTCTATGCCTCAGTTTCCTCTTCTTAAAATGAGGGTTAAAAATTGAGTCTTCTTTATTGGGTTGTTGTGAGGGTTAAATGAGTTAATGAATATAAAACAGTGCCAGGTATGTGGTCAGCCCTCAATAAACCTTAGCTTTTATAATAATCCTAATCTGCATTTTAGAAAAAACAGAAAGCAAAACAATAGGGAGCTAGTGAACACGACTGCTATGCTATTGTGTGCCCATTAAGGCCTTGTTCCTCTGCACTATTGGGGAATGTTTTTCCTTCACTGATCTCTGACATTTTAATTTCATCTCTGACTCACCTAAGGGCCACACAACAAGCAGTCAAAAAATTAATAAGACTCCAGAGAGTATTAAGAAATAAGATATTGCCCTTCCTTTATCTCAGATACTTACTGGAAAGCACCTCTAAGAGCAAAAGGCTGTTAGATTTAGAATTAGAGTCACAGATACCTCTCTCTGTGTTCCCTGAGCTTGACTGGGCAGAAGGCGGGGAAGGAAGTGAGAAATGGAAGATGGAAAGGCAGACTGAAGAGTTCATGACAAGTGGTCTGTGTGTTCCTTTCTTTACAAGTGTCAGGTTTAGGAATATGGCTCTTATGGTGTGGGAAAAGGACGACACAGCTACTTCTGGCCCAGCTTTCTGGTATCTCCCCCTTGGGAGAATCTCCAAAATCGTCCCCAAGCTGAGTTTTCTTGGGCTATTAACTAACAGTATGTAACTCAGCCAAAGGCACTTAAGGTGGAGACCAGAAAAAAAAGGAAGTATGAGAGGCAGTTGAAATGAAGGTAGAGGAACCACCCTTCCTCCCTCCCAGCCAGCCAGCAGTAGGCTACCCTGCATTTCAGCCCTTTATCTGGCCTGGCAAGGGCACCAGTACTTGGGAGTTCTGAAAGCACTGGCAGAACTTCTACCAGCAGAGCGGGTACTGCTTCAAGGCAGGAATGGAATGTGGATAAGAGTTATAGGAGAAAAAATTTCAACCTAGAACTTCCTCTAACCACCAGAGACTACAATGGGGAAAGGCAGGTGGGGAGAGCGGACTGACATGGCCCTCACAGTCCATGACAGAGAGGTGACTGTATGTTCCTCTTTGCCGGAGACATACCCAGTGCATTCATTCATCATGCTCTTCCACTCTCAAAGCCATGAGTTTTGAATAACACTTTTTATGCTTACCCTCACTTACAGATAAGTCTCGTAAAATTTTAAGCCTTCCTGCTGGCTAAGTTGGGCCCAGACAAAGATGAAACTGCCCTAGTCAAGAACTTCAGAACAGCTCACCATGGAGCGAGGTGCCTTTCAGGACAGTGCAGTTCTGGTTTCTGCAGGCCAGCTCCACCCTCAGTGGTATGAAAGTGGTTGTGTGAGTGTGTGTGTGTGCATGCAAGCACACATTGTAGCACTGTAGAGCAGGCTGAGAACAGAGCCAGGAAGACTGATGAGAGGCAGATATAAACCAGGAGGTGGGGGAGGCAGAGACCCAGACTTAGGAAGGAAAGATAAGAGTGTGGCTTTCTTAGTCCAGGTGTGACCACTTGTTTTTATTCATTCGACCACTAATTCATAGCAGAAGCCTGAGGCATGGGAAATGACTGGTCCATGGTGTCAGCACTGCCACATCTCCAGTTCCTAAGTTCTCCCTTCCTACTGAGGCTTTAGCAGAGGGGCAAGAACTGTTATAGGAATTCTGCAAAAAGAGGGTTTCAGCTTTCAAAAGTATTCCAGAGAAGTTCCATTCTCAAGAAAATAAAGTCAGCCAGACCCACACATCATAGACAGTTCTTGACAAGAAACCTTTCCAGAAGGCACCCCCTATACTGCGGTATAGCAAAAGCTTACTGAAGAGATTAAGGAGCCTGTTTGTCATCATCAGGAAGCAGACAATTTTAAATGAAATCAACAAACAAGTTATCTGTAGCCTTGGGTACTAAAACGCATTTTGACAATGTGTTGAAGCGCAGGTGGGCAACGGCGCAACAATGACGCATCACGAGACGGCAGAGCTCACAGAGTCCAGGAAAGGCAAACTGAAGAGTAGGGGTGAGGCAGTCTTTGTCCACTACTGCCCAAGGATGATACACAGCCTTCTGGCATGACTGAGAATGCTGGGGAGAAAGGAGGAGCCTGTCTTGACAGGGAATGTCAGGTCCTGCCCTTCAATGACTCCATTTCAACTCCACATCCATCTTGATTTTAAATTCCTTGAGAATCGTATTTCAGGTAAATCGGAATTTAGATAGCCTTTTTTTTAGTACCTACTGTTATTATTTTACTATTTCTAGTTTTGAATCCCATGTTTACACATGTCTATCCCATGGAGTATTTGGGAAATACTTATTATATACAATTATTCATTGGCATCTGTTACTAAAATTTCAGTGTGCCCTGTATTTTTATTTCTGGCACCCTAGTGGGGCTGAAGGCATGGGACCTATGCTTGGTGTCTCCCTCTGAACCAAGAAGAGTATCTTGTACATGGTAGATGCTCAATAGATCATCTGAATGCTTAAACTTGCTCGAATTAAAATGAACTGCCTCTAGAAAGCACTGAGAAACTGGAAAGGGAATATGTGAAATGCAGGAAGTCATAACCCACACTGTGCTCATCCTCTATTTTTGAACTACTTAACATACGTAAG